CCCCAAAACCCCAAAACCCCAAAACCCCTTAAATAAATAATTTGACGATGATTGATAATTATGAAATTAAATTATATCAAATAGTATTAAAATTATTTAATCAGTTTTAGCACTCAATATTTCAGGTATTTTTCTATTTATTTTTTATGCTTTGGCTCAATGTCTTCTAAAGGCATAAGTACTAGCAAATTCTCTAAGTCTAGTAATCTATTTTTAAGTTTACGATAAGATATCAATCCAAAAATAATCGATCCAATAAGTACAAATGCCATAAATAATCCAAAAGCTAGAAGATATTCTGACTTAGCTCTAGCAAAATATATGTTTGACTCGTTTCTTATTGTGTATTACACTGCATCATTCGCATATGGCAAATAGTATAGGATCAAGTCAGTTGATTGTTGCAAGGAATTTTAACTTAGAAGTTCACTAGCAAATTTCTTAGAATAGTAGTTATTTTTTCGTGAATTTTGTAGTTTCAAGTCAATTTAATAAATTATTCCTGTCACATACTGAATAAAACTTGCAAGACCATTTTAGAGCACTCCATTGAATACCTCGAAGCATGCTTTTGCCTGCTCTTGACTGTAATTCTCTTGCATTTCAGGATTTAAGAAAGTCATATTGCACAGTAGTGGAGATTCAAAACCATTAAGAAGATTCTTTGCTGAACTTAAAAAATCTGGAATATTCCTTCTCAGTTAGTTTATCTAATCTTCATTCTAAGAGCAATCTGCGTAGTGATATTCTAATGCATGATCTAGATAGAAACTATTATTACTACTCTCATATATTCTTATCTATACATCTATATTCCTTATAATGTTTTCTCTAAGGTAGGTTATCAAGTTGTATGCACATTCCTCTCTTAAGAAAAATTTCCTTAACTGGACAACACTACTTTTGTCATTTTTGAAAACAACCTAACTCTAAAAGTAAGATATGATCAAGGAGGAGTTCAAAAAAGCTCCTATCATCAGTATTACTAAAAATGTCTTAAGCTTTTTATTAATTGTGTCAGCATTTATTTTCTTCAAAAATTGATCTGCTAAATTGCTGCTAGTTAACTTTGAGCCAGAATTTGATAATTTACCGAGACTCAAACGTTTTTTAGATCTTTTCTTCTTTGAATTTTTATCTTTGCTATCATCAACTGAGCTATCTTTTTGTTTGCTATCCTTAATTTCATAAAGCTTCTTCCTATCTTTTTAAACTTTATTACTTTATTGATTATAAGACAAACTTTTTGAGTTCATTTAGGAGGAATTAATGCTTTGAAATTTCTTTTGAATGCTTTTATCATTTTCATTAATTAAAATATCTTGAGGAGCCTTCTACTCCTCTGGATCATCGTTCTCAATACTCTCACTTTCATCTGATTCAAAATCTCCTTCAGCCTCTAACACCTTTTTATTTTACAACTCAATTTTTTCATCCAATTTTTATTACTCCTAAAGAATCATTGCAGCTATTTAGTGATCATGAATTTATTAAACGTTTTCTTCAACTTTTTATTCATATGCTTAGGCCATTAAAAAGTTGTTCTTAAATTTTAAGGATTGCTTCAATTGCATTTCAATTGTCTCCTCACTTAGTTCATTGAAGAATTTTATTACTTTTTGATGTTTATCAATCATCCGAGATAATTGGGGAAAGATGGATATTGCCATAACTGATAAAATACCAATTGAGACAAAAACAGCTATATTTAGAGTTGATAGCGATGAATCTGATTGCTCATAGCTAACATCTAGAAGCATATAGAGTTATTGATTGCCAAGTTCTCCTAAGCCAAAGAGTCCATTTTCAGAGATATAGAATAGGGTTTACTCAAGTTATGATCTCTAAGTTTTACTTGATGATTAACCATTTTTATTTTCAATGAGCAGACTTGAAATATTCAGATCAATTTTTTCCTTTATCAAATTATTTAGGTCCACTTAGCTAGAATAAGTTGCGTAGAGATCAACAGCATGCTTAAATGAAACGTTTTAATAATATCCTAATCCATTTTGAGAAATAAATCCAAGATTATTATAATCTAAGTCGAATAGTGTATATTCAGGATTCTTCATAATAAAATCATTTAACAATTCTTGATATTCCGTTATAGTTTTTAGATTTTCTTGCAGATTTTCTACATAAAAATCTGTTCTGCTTAAGTCAGGTGGCAATATTTCTGATCTATTGAGATTTGGAATGTCTAATGAAATAGCTTATATCATTTTAACATCAAGTAAAATTGATCTAATGTGAGCATTACGCTAATTAATATAAGAAAATGCTGCAAGCCTATCAATAATTTTACTATGTCTAACTACAAAGCTAGATAAATTATAGATGCTAATCACTAAGTAGGAGAATAACAGCAGAATGAATAAGATCAAGTTTAATCTTAGAATAGATGGTACTCTCGGGGCAAAGAGATGAGTTTTAGCATATTAAGATGCAAATTTCCCTCCATTATTAGAAGATGAAGTACTGCTCATTGAACTCATTGCGGCTATTCTATTTTTATCGTCACTAAGATCATCTGAAAATCCCTCAATCATGCTAGGTGAGACCATAGGAATAAACTGATTTGTTTGCTAATTAGGCTAGCCAGAAGAAACTGCAGATTTTATGTTCTTTTTTAATGACATAACTCCTATTGAACCCCTGTGCATCAAGTCAAACTCTGGATGCTTGTGTGATGGTAGTAAAATGACTTTTCTCAGTAATTTTTAGTCGCTCTAAACCCTAATTATCTCCTAATAAAACATGAGAATGCATTATATTTGATCATCAGCATCAAAGTCTTGTTAAAATCTATCGTATGCATTGACTTTCACAAATTTATTTACTACATTATTCAAATCAAGATCTTTACCATCATCTGTTATACCGTACTCCTGGATGATATCATCCCAGTTAGAAATTATAGTTGGTAAATCAATTTTCTTCCCTCTCTACTCTTCGTAATCTTCCCATTATTCTAAACTTAATTTAAGGTTTTTTAAGACGCTTTCAGACACATCCTAGATCACATTGTCTTAATCAGCAATCACAAACATAAAATCATCTGCCTATTGCTTGTTATACTCATCTTAGTAGAGATTCATCTTTTCAAGTTTCTCTATTATGCCAATAAATGAATACCCGAATTTCTAGTTATATGTAAAATTTAGTCTTAGTTAGATTGGTATTAGGAATCCTTAAGAAGTCTTTGAGAATAGCATTCTATCTTGATTAAGAAAATTAGAAACACCTTTATTAAAAAATCCTCTTATCATCTAATCATGAAAACTAATCATGCTAAATGGAATTATGTTGTTTATATTTAATCCATGGATTTAATCTGGATGAAACCCGAATATATCACAAAATTACTAATTAGCATGCATAAATTCCCATTATTATTTATTTCTACCCCAAGCATCTACAATAAATATCGCCTAGTCTATCTCGATTGATTTGTTGTATATATTTTTCCTACCTCTAATATTCAAAATGTAATGTTTTAAGGTACTTAAAATACTGTTCATTCCAACTGAATCATTAAGAATTTACTATTGGAATAAAGCATAAATTTGATATTTTCTCAAATCCTTTTTAAAATTTGAGTCCTCATCTAATTGACTCATTAGTTCTTTTTAACTTTACAATGTCTAAGCAATTCTTATACCTCTTTAGGTAAATTCTAAAGGAGAGAGCTCTCTAAGCTTAAGTTTATTCCAGAACTCGATGATTTCATCGACACTTTAATCGTAAAATTAATCCAAAAGAAGTTGTTTCTAGTTGTTTTCAATGAATTTAAAATAGTTTATCTCTTCTATCTCATTATTTATATGATGAAATACTTACTTCTAAATGATTTTTTCATTTACCTTAAAATTCATTACCTCGAAAAAACTGATGTTTCTAATATTCTTGCTTATTTATAGTAATTACATTAAGGAAGTAAAGGCTTATGAGTGTAAAGAATGTTGCATGAATATATAGAGTAAGCAAAGCTGAAGTCTATCAGTATTTTAGAAACCTTCATTGCTTATAATTAAACTTCCAAGTTATTTATCTAGAAGATATAAGAGAATATTTTTAATTGACTCTTTTCTAGTTTTAGGTTTTTATTTATCTTAATGCCTATGGTAATATCTAGGAGAGCTACTTCCATTTTAATTATGCATTATGTTATTATGAATTGTGCCATCATCATCCCGAAATAAATCTTTAAGATGAAAGTTTTCTACAATTTGATTGACTGGGAAACTATATGCTGTATTCAAAGCAGGATTATTATCTGCTGACAGACGCTAGTTTATAGTGTTTTCGCCGATTGAGCTGTTTTTTCTTGTGATGATACTTAAATCCTCAATTTAGTCCATATTCATTCAATTGAACTTTATCGAGAAAAAATTGGTATCAAATTGACTATCTAGTCCTTCAACCTTAATAAAACCTGAGGGAATTGGTCTTAATAGTTATCTTCTCTCACTCTTATTTGGCTGAAGTAATTAATCAGGATTATTCTTTCTTTTTTGCCTATAATTTCTGCATTAGCAATCAATGTCAATGCATTATCTTTGATGAACTATAACAATCTACTAAATTACTGTCAGGTCTTCATGATCTTATCTCTCTAGAATCTATCTCATATGGAATAGTAAGAATAGGATGCTTTTCTGATTTATCAGTTATTCATGAGGATCTTATATATTGAGAATGATACTTCTTACCTCATCATTTTCTCTTTTGCTCAAAATTCTTTGAAAAGTAAAGAGTACAGGAGGATAATAAAATAAAAGTTCAAGAAACTGAATTTTAAAAAATACTCTAAAAAGACTAAGTAGTGCAATGCTAAGTATGAGTCTTTATAGCAAGGAGTGAATCCGATAGATAAAAGTATCATAATACATGGTTCTCCTATGTGCAAGGTAAAAAGTGATAGCTACAATCAAAACAAATACTCCAGCCTAAACATAATTACTATCATCTAGTTAAGAATCGAAAATGCATAAAATCATAAGGCCAACTTTGAAAAGTTCCTAAATTTTTAAATGCTAGCTCTTGAGTGAGCTCCATGGTACATTATGCGACGGAAGAGTATAAGCCATTGTTATTTAAACCAAGATATATATGAAAAAATATAGGACAATGCCGATTGAATTCAAAACAATCAGCAAGTAAAGTGTATTAGAATCCAGATCTCGGTTTTGATTTATACATTTAAGAGAACTTAGTAGCATGAAACTTATCATGAAGGTTTATATTTTTTACTAAAATGGAACAAGATAGAATAAAATCTATTTAGTGATGTTATTAGAAGTAGATTGAATGTGATCAATAGGCTTTGCTCTTTTTATTAACCTCAGTAACAAAATAAAGTGGATTAACATCAACGAAAAATATATACCACATGATACTAATAGGAAATTAGGATGCTCTTGCAATCCATATACATCGAAGGATTGAGTTTTGATATAATCAAATTCAGACTCGTCCGATTATGACAAATCAAGCATGAGGAAGATGACTATAATTGATTCTGCTATCATCAGTATAGCATATACGTTTTTATTCATCTCATTATTGTAGTACAAATTATCGAAAGCTAGAGTCAATTTTTCAATCATTTTTTGCTTAAACGTCAAGTGCTGCTTTGATTTTTTTAGTATGTCTTCGGCAAATTTATCTTACATTTTGTTTTAACCTAAAATTATTCAAATATTGCTATTAGCCTAGTTATTGGGATAAATTTTATTAAATAATTAAAAAATGTTTATTTTTCAAAATAATCTAGATAGATTCAAATTCATCTTTCGGGGTTTTGGGGTTTTGGGGTTTTGGGG